GTTAAATATCGGACATCGGCCATTCCATCAAAATAACTCACAGATATGAAAGGCACAGTTTATATATATATATATATATATATATATATATATATATATATATATATATATATATATATTTAATTATTTTCAGTCCCCTTTTTGGCATCTGCATTTGGTAGCAGGCCAAAATGACAAAGACCATGCAGAATAATGTAGTATTTTAATTCCACAGCAGAGAAAGCTATTTAGTCTCTGTAAATAGGTCTAGGGGGTAAAATATCTGTATTGGTATTGGTTATCGGCCAAACAAGTTTTAACATATCGGCATATCGGATATCGGCCAAAAATTCAATATCGTGCATCCCTAGACTGGATGCCAATGGTGTGAGCTTTTCTGGGATCTGAACCCAAGTCCTCTTTCAGCCACTTTCGAAAAGCAGTTTGATTTAATTTATTTAACCCAGAACCTTTTATATGCAAATCCTACAAAAGTACAGTTTTGTTGTTTTCAAAGATATGGTAACGTCAATCCTCTAAACTCGTTTAAACTCCCAAAGAAGTAAAATATTCCACTGATACAAGATCTGCCATCAGTTCTTGCCAACTTCTTTTACATAAAAGACACCATGTCATTATCATGTGTAAAACTAGTTATTTTAGCCATTTTTAACGTTTTCTTTTATCCAGGAACAGTAAAACAAATACAATACATTAAAATGCATATATAAAATTACCATAGCTTTTGCTGTATAAGTCACCGTTTTTTGCATAAATTAGCATGCCCTGCGACTTGTACGGCGAAGCAACTTATTTATGTTTTTCCCCATATTTATAACCCAATGTTTGGCTGAGATCTGACGATTTCATTCATTCTGACATGGAAAACATTGAGCACTACCATTTTCAGCCACTAGAGGGCCCTCGACCTGTATGGCAAGCCAAGTGTCTCATTAACAGGTGGCTATTAATGAGACACTTGGCTTGCCATACCAAGCCACCTTCGTCTCGCTCCAGAACTCCTGGAGCAAACGTCAAATCGGCTGCATTTGGCTGTGACGCTCAGGTGAAGTGCAGCTGATTTGACTATTTAAGTGCATTTATTAAGGAAACGTTCAACTGAGACACCTTTATTATAATGTTGAGCAAACAAATTATTGTTTTTAGGTGATTTTCTTGTTAAATTTTGAAGAAATGCACAGCGATTCGTTCCTCTGCGCGCTCCAACAGCCACGAATCGGCTTTTGAAAATGCAGCTGATTTGACCATCAAAGTGCATTTATTAAGGAAAAATTAAACTGAGACGCACCTTTGATATAATTTCGAGCAACCAAATAATTGTTTTTAAGTGTTAATCTTGTTAAATTCTTGGTAAAGTCCTCCCGTGCACGCTCACGCAGCCGCCATTTGGCAGCCAATCGATTTTTGGAACAACACTGGCCCACGTTTCCGGGTTATCAGTGGTGACGCATAATAGATGCGACTTATACGACGAAACGACTTATTTATGGTTTTTTTTCCACTTGATTAGACATTTTTGGACTGATGAGACTTATACAGCGGTGCGGCGTTTACGGCGGCAAGTACGGTAGACACTCCATATTTGTTGAAACAATAAACAGTTTTGACTTGTTTTTTATGCTTTGTGAGGATTATAGATTTAAAATACAGACATAATTACCTACAAATGCATCAAACTAAACTTTACACTTGTTTTTGTGTCAGTAAAGATAATTTTAGTTGAGAAAAACAGTTTTTTTGCCTTTTGCATGTGAAAGCCATGCCCTTTAGTTTCACCTGAAAAAAATGTGGTTTGTATGTTTAAATCACAAAAAAGGACCGGGACACACTTTTCCCCAACATGAACACACAAAATATAAAGTTAGAGCTGAAAAAGCTCAGACTTTTCACATTTGCTTCCTTAAAATCATTGCACACAGTCATCCAATCTGGCTTTAAACCTCTCCACAGCACTGAAACTGCCCTATTGAAGGTTTTTAATGACATCTTCAGATTCACAGATACCGGTGATTCTGTGCAGCTTGTCCTGTTGGACCTCACAGCCGCCTTTGACATCATCGACCATGAGATCCTAATTGCTAGGTTGGAGCAGTGGATGGGCATCACAGGGTCAGCCCTCAATTGGTTCAGATCCTATCTCGCTGACAGATCCTTTTGTGTCTCCATCAAGGATTTTAGTTCTGCAGCGGCAGAGCTTAAATGGGGGGTTCCGCAGGGGTCCATCCTGGGTCCCCTCCTATTCTCTTTATACCTGCTGCCACTTGGTGCTATTTTCCGGGAACACAACATACCCTTTTACTTCTACGCCGACGACTGTCAAATCTACGTTCCCCTAAGACACAATGCTCTATTCAACCTCTGCTCGACTGCCTGGCTGACATCAGGGACTGGATGGCTTTAAACTTCTTAAGTTTCAATGAAAAGAAGTCTGCAGTCATGTTGTTCCCTCCCAACGACACAATCACAAACCACTGCATCGACCTTTCCACTCTATCCCTGTCAGAAAAACAAAGAGTCACAAATCTGGGAGTGATAATGGACCCTTCCCTAAAACTTAACAATTATGTAAACATGATTGTGAAATCATGTTTCTTCCAACTGAGGCGGCTGTCTAATCTGAAGCCCATATTGTCCAAAAAGAACCTGGAGACAGTAATACATGCATTCATTACATCTAGGCTTGATTACTGCAATTCACTCCTGTTTGGTATCAGTCAGACCTCCATAGCACCACTACAACTGGTTCAGAATGCAGCAGCCCGATTTTTAACCAGTACAGGCAAAAGAGAGCACATTACACCAGTCTTGGCCTCACTGCACTGGTTACTGGTTCACCTTCAAATCCAGTTCAAAATACTCATGTATGTCTACAAATCACTGAACAGTGTCGCCCCCCCATCTCTCTGATTTTCTACAACCGTATGTCCCACCACGCTCCCTGAGGTCAGCGGACCAGTTGCTCCTCACTGTTCCAGGAACTCGTCTTAAGCGCAGAGGTGACAGGGCCTTCTCTGTAGCAGGACCAAGACTTTGGAACGAGTTGCCTCTGCTTGTCAGACAGGCCCCCTCTCCCTCGGTTTTCAAATCCCGTTTAAAAACTCACTACTATTCATTAGCTTTCAACACCAGATGATCTGTGTTTTGATCGGGTATGCTCCACACTAGTTAGTCGTCATATTTATTATCTGCATCGTTTTTATGTCTATATTCTGATTTATTTCATTTTGTATATTGCTTCGTGTGTTACCTGTTGTTCTGTCTGTACAGCACTTTGATTGGCCTTGTCGCTGTTTTAAGTGCTCTATAAATAAAATGGTATGGTATGAATAACGTCAAATTTTATAAAACCCTCACACGACTGACTCCTGTCAGCTCATTTCAAATCTTCACACGAGTGATGCGTTGGAGTCGGGCAACCTTAAAGCTGAAGGTAACATTTATACAGGAAGGAAACAGCTGAGCGGTCTGAGTTTGTAACGCTTCACATGATCGAGGTCAGCTGGAAAATGGAGGACGGCGGCTGCTCGGGAATGTTCAAAACGAGCTTCTTAACTGATGGCTGTATTCAGCGCGGCGG